TTCTATGGAGGTGCACGTGGTTTTTTGACTATATAAAAATACGCAAAATTTTTGATATTGCATGACCGTTCGGTAAAAAGGTCCCTTCAGAAAACCTGGAAAAAATTTCGAAAACACATTCCTGAATATTTTACAGCATAGTTTCCGTTTGGAAAACGTGACATAGGTAAAAAGGTCCATTTCCACCAGTGTAAAGCTTACTTAGTAATTTGACATCCACCTGAAAAATTATACAGCTTATCCTAATTCCTATCCGCCATATTCAGTTGCTTTTCTTGATTCTTATTATTCAATTAAAATAAAATGAAACGGAGACTGGAGAACATTTGGTGTGTTTATGTTGCGTTACATTTGTTGCGTTTCATTAAAAGCCTCGCTTTGAATCCCGATTTCTTGGAATCAGAGCGGAAGTGCTGAAGCAGTATTTGGAAGAAGCGAACGAACATTTGCTCGCAACTAAAATTAAGCTAAGCTGTTGACCTCGCTCAATGCAACTTTCTTGGTTTCGTCTAGTAGTAGATTACCAATCACTGAATTCTTTTAGTCGGCGAGGACGAACTATTTGAAGCCGGGTGGATTAAAAACACCTCTGAAGTGAACGCGGACGTAAAAAGGTAAGCCACTCAATATCACTCTGGATTGTGGCAATAATTCACTTGGTTTATAAATTCCGTTAAGTTAATCTTTTCCTGTGTGATTTTGAGTCGAGGGAACGTAACGATAGAGGTGCATTTATTCCTGTATGTTTGTTACACTTCAGTTTAAGGTATTGATGTAAATCTGAGCCCCTTTCACGTTGAAACTCTATACTAGCGTGAATCGAGATCTGTTTCTACGATGCAGCTCAGGGCAACAGATCCTTAAATTGAAATGGTACCCTCAGTTTTCTTTTAACTCTTTGTGTATTTTGACATTATTTTGAAATTCATTTCCCATCCTATCTCGATTCTAGGGCCACTGATTAGGATTAAAACTGTTAAATTCGATGAGCCGAAACAAAATATGCTTAACAAGCATGTTTTGATCCGACGGCCTAATGAAAGGAAAGCGAAACAAAGTCGAAAGCTCAAAAGGGAAATACCCCATATCTATTTTCCTACTATCCATCCTGCCACGTACCCACCGAATATTGAACGTCAATTGGTGGTGTTTTCAAATAAGAGTACGGCTTTTGGAAGAGTTTCATTTAATACGTCAACGACTAAGACGTTTGCAAGTTTACATATAGAACCTGATATATTAGCGAGAGTAATCCCATTCAACCGGATATAATATCAAAGCATTGGATGCACCAAAGCTTCAAGGAATCTTAAGTTGTGTTGTTAATCTAGTTTGTTTCGTGCATAAACGTTTAATACTTATTTAGATTGAAAGTTTCCATAGTGGTGACTTATTTAACACATGGTTGTGTTGAACATACTCAATAGTTATTAGCGGATACTAGTAACAGAAGTGTTCGGGGGTGTTATGAATTAAGTCGGTTATTTCAATTCAGGCCCTTAACAAATAAGTTGGGTTAGTTACTTGACTGATATTTCGCAAAAAGGTTTGTTTTAAGGATCATCCATCGTTTCGGTTGATATTAGACTAGCTAGCCTAATAGTTTACTGAAGTGGTAACGAGTGGTTAGTAATTAAGCAATAGAGCACTTTTTCCGTGTTTACATAG